GGGGGGCGGTGGGGCGCGGCGCGGCGAACACAAGAGCGCCCTCGCTGCGCGCCATCAAAGAATGGGAAGCCTCGTAATGCATTTCAACAAGCGAGATTGCAAAGCGAGGGGCTCTGATGAGAAAAGGGTGGGAGGGGGAGTGGGAGACCGCGGCAGGGGGCAGTGGAAAGGGGTCGAGGGGGGAGAATGTCCCGCGGAGTTTACCGCGCGACCACCTGACGACCGGCGCCGGGGTGTTGACGGTCGGAGGAAGGTGTTTCGAGTCGAGACAAAATTCACCGCGTACGCGGCTGCCGGAAGGAACAAAAGCTGCTCCAGCAATCCACCAGCCCGGAAGTCTGTCCGTCCCGCCCGAGGGGTCAGTCCGCCGACAAACACAAGTGTCGGCGTGGGCCGTCAGATCGTCCATCCCGTCCGCCCGTCAGCTTGGACGGAGTCGCATTCAAATATTCATCCGCTTGAGCGACTTTTAATTGAAATAATCCGCTGCACAGCCGCACGGAGAGGAACACAGAAAAGCTTTCAGCGTCTGATGCACGTCCAGCGCCCCTCTCCCTCCCTGACTCTCCCCTCCCCGACTGGAGGCCTCTGCGGCTCGTGGGCATAGCACCGTCCAGACGATCAGCACGGCGCTAGAGGCCTCAATATATTCAACAAAATGTTTGCATTTTGTTTCATTAGTTTTATCCACATCTAATCCTTTCACTCTGCTGAATCTATTGCAAGGATTCGCGTATCGTGGCGGGGCGCGGGGCGCACCGCCGCTGCAGTCCTCATTTGGAAGCGCGCCAAATCGGACCGGGCCAATGCTGCACAGCAGAATGCGTAGAGAAGCGCGGCGGGGTCGGCGGGTAGGGCAGGGCGGGGGTAAGGAGGCGCCGGGGTGGTGGGCAGAAGGGCGTTCCTCGCGCATCACGCAGAGGCCCTTCTGGCGCTCCCACGGTGTGGCAGAAGGGAGTGAGAGAGAGGGGGAACAAAAGTCTAAGAAATATATTCGGCCACATTTCATCTCCACGTTTGGCAGACGGCCTCACATTCTCTCGTGCGGCTCGGGGCGGGGCATGGCCCCCAGCAGCAGCAGAGGCCCGCGGCGGCGGGGCGGGGCGCCTGCATGTACAGCATTCGTGTGTGATCCATGGCCCACGGTGCAAGACTGAAAGTAAATAATGGCATGTGCACAGAGCTAACGGGTCGGATGGCCCTGCGCGATAACCCAACCCCGCCACGCCCCGCCAGACATCCCTCTGATAATGTGCACACAGCATGCAGCGCAGCGGGGTTTCGGCCCACCTACCCCTTCGTCATTTTACTTTAAGCACAGCAACTCAAGTAATTGTGGTGTCTAAGTATTGGACTTTGATCTCCTCCTTGTGAAGGCATTGAAACTAAAATTTTCATGCTTTAGAAGCACGATCACGCGCGTTTGCAAGCACACCTGCGGTTCAGATTTCTTTTATTACAAAAAAAATCCATAGAAAACGTGGTGAGTTTTTGTAAGGTATTGCCAGTATTCAGCGCTCGCGTCCAGGCCCGGCTCACAAACAGCTTGGGGTGGGCTGCGAAGCCGCACGGCAGCAACGGGTCCCAGGGCGGGGACCACCTAGCCGCTGGCGGTAAGCGGTTTAGTGCCGTCAACGTGGCCATCAACATCTTCATCACGCCACCGCGGGCCGCGCCGCCGCTGCAAGGACAACAGCGGGTGGCAAAACGCTTTCACGCCGCACCGCGCCAGCATCCACTGCCATTTATTATCCAGAGAAGGGTATCGAAAAGAAGTAACGATAAATAAATAATAACAGTTTAGTTGAAAAGAACTGATAGGTGCTATGGTGATGTTTTCCATTTGCATGTTCCCGCCGCATGTGCGCACACTGGTGCACGCACTTAGGCAGCAGGCAGCTGCCGCACCGTCAGCCTGACGCTCCAACAGGTCACGCATAAAACGGAATGGCTCCATTCCGCCTCTAATAAAGGGGGCCGCGGCCGGGGAAAAAATAAGCTTCTAATTACGGCCGTGGATGCTTATGAAAGCGTGGCGCGCGCGCCTCCGCGCCTTCATAAGCTCAACTTTTACTGGGAAAACGGCTGGAGAGGGTGGGCTGAGCGGCGGCGGCGCCCCCGGCGGGGCATGCGGGGTGCCCGCAGGGCGCCGCAGGATACAGCAGGGCGCAGCAGGGCCCCACAGGGGGGCGGCTGGCGATTAAGGAGTGTGGGGCCTGCAGACCACAGGTACCATT